CGTGTGCTGGTTATGAATAAAGAAAATAAATTAATTTATGAAACTATTGAGAGTTTTATTCATTTACAACGAAACGATTTGTTTAGTTTTTTTATTAATTAATATAGCTATTGATGATCAGAAATATTACAACGCCTTTATTTATATTACCTAATCAATCAATATTGTTACCAAATCATACAGAATTAAAAACTGCTATCTTTTCTAATCAACTACATTCAAGTGATCATATAAAATATGTTTATAAAATGAAATTATATTAGCTAAAATTCAAAATATTTATTTAACAATAGCGAAGAAGGTTATTATGCACCATTAATTCCATCATCTACAATTATAATGGATATTGTTTTGGTATCAAATGATGTATCAGTTAACAATCATTATGTACCTCATACTATTATGAAAGCATATCGATGGAAAATTCAATGATTAGAATCAAATAAAAACAATGAAAATATTCATTGGCTATTAAGATTAATTGAAAGACTAGTACAATGGCATGGTATTGAAAAATTTGGTCAAATTTCAGTGTCCAATGATATGTTTCAGATGTTTAATTTTATTTGAATAACTTATTTGATTTTTGTTTTTTTTGAAACAAACTTGTTAAAATATTTCAATCGAAGTCAATCATCTTACATTAAGTATAATAAATCACTTAGAATAAGTGCAGAAAAGTATTCTCTATTGACAAAATTATTTTTTAAACTGATCATTTTGGTAATGAAAAATAATACTATCTTTCAATGTCAATTCATTCACGGTATGAATAAGAGTTTTAGTCTTTTAGGGTGTGGGTGTGGGGGTGTGCGCGTGTGTGGGGGTGTGGGTAGGGTGCGGCTGTGGTGTGGATGGGGGGTGGGTGTTTATCTTTTCTTCATCCACACCCACACCCTACACCCACACCCACCCACATACCCACATCCACCCACACCCTTCTCGTCTCTATAATGTAATTTTCGAATAATGAAAACAGATATTTTCGGTTGTTTTTTCGCTAAAATTTGAAGAACAAATTCTTTCAGCTTCACAAGCACTTCATTACAGTCTCAAATAACAGATAATAAGAGAATGTTGTTTATACGCAGAAAAAAATCTGTTTGTATTCAAAATCTCTCAATACTTTCGAATATCGTCTCTTCTTGAAAATATACCAAACAAAAAAGATTTATTCATCCATATTCAAACTGTAGATCATATCTTCTAAAACTCCAAATGCATTATCACACCACAGGTGTTACAGACGTTTCGGCAACAGTAGATTTCCAGTCACGATAAGCGTCTCTGATCAAAACCTAATACCTTTCTTGATTGTGGGTGGGCAATAGTATTACTCTAATCTCATATACGCTCACAATCCACACCCACACCCTTATAGCATTGAAGATATGGAAGATGATGAAAGATATCGCGAAATGGCTTTAAAAAAGTATGCATTGGCATTTTTATCATTTTCATTACGAAAAAGTTGCATTGTGTAATTAAAGACACAAGTTGACGCTGGATCGATCAATATTTTTATGATACCATTTTAGTGTAATGTGTATTTTCATTTCCCAAAGATGACGAAGATATAATCGATTGGAATCATATGATATTGGTTCATGAGAAAGCAGCATGTATGTTATGCGATCAAATATGACTCAGAGTTTATTTCAACATAACTACCATCAAGTTTTGAGGAAACGACACCTGATCTCGCGATTCACTTGATTTGGAAAAGCATTAAAAAGTATTTGTGATATGTTTGACAAAGATGGAACCAAATCTTGAGTCATCTGAAACTCTTATATTCCTATCCGTCATGTTTTGGTCAAGTAAAAAATGCTTATAGATGTCATATTGATTATGGATTTTATTCATCAAATTTGAAAAATGAATCTTTGACGCTATCGATCATTTTAAATCAGATCTAATTCAAGCTATCTCATGAAAGAAATTTTTCATACGGAAACAGCGAAAATTTCTGGAAATTTGTTATGTTTAATATAAAAATATTGTCAGAACCCTTACAATTTAATATGAATACATCTTATTTTTTCTGCATTTTCGTTTAGTATAAAATTTGTGATAAACGCAGTATAAAATCATGGAATTACACTTCTAAAACACATTTTAATGCATCCTGTATACTTGAGCATGAATTATACTGATTCATACGTTTTCATTGAGTAGGTCCCATAGCCTTCAAAGAACAATATCAGTCACTTTGACAAACAGTCGACACATAATGCTATTTGATTATTCATCTGGTAGTGTTATATAAACAGATCAGTTTATTTATTTTTTCTTCAGCCGAGGTGACGCGAAGTACAAATTTATATTTATCGAGCACTAAATAACTTGTTCATCATGTATCATCTGATTATTTCTCATTACTCCTTACATGTTTATCTTGGAAATGCGAAAGTTTTGCTCACAATATTGTTACGTTTCTTACGAATCTTCTAGTTGACAACAAGATTGAACAAAAAGACATACGCATGCATGTTATGAAATCCAGATTACGAGATAATGAATTGTCTCAATCATGACTAGCAACGAAATTATTTCACCTGACATAACGGTTTCGATCTCGTTGCTTGTCCATAAAGTGGACTAAAATTCCAAGAGGATATGTTTGTATAGTCTGTAAATAAAAAGGCATAGGTGAAAGTCTCACTATCTGTATCCTCAGAATGAAAATAATTACATTTTTTATTTAGTTTGACTTCAGTTTATTTCACTGCATACATTCGTGTACATCAATATTCTCACAATCCACATGTTATTTTGCCTTTACAAGCATGTCCAGCTTCTCCGTCACATGCGTAAACAACAATTAATGGTGTTATATAATACCAATCGTATCCACCACCGGTTGCAGTAATTGAATATGAACAACAATCATAATCAACAAATGATATGTCAACTTGTTGTGGTATTTTCCAATTTGTTCGATCAAAAACAACTGTACTAAATTCAGCACATCGCGTACCATTGTAGAAATAATTTGGTTGTACTTTAAATTCAACTTTAACTTGATCACTAGGTGCATGAACTAGTGGTGTTTGTAAAGTTAATTTAAAATGATCTTGGCCATCAGGAGTTACCACAAATGTACGAGAAGAGTCTACATCAAATCCTAAAAATAGCCAAAATGTTACATTCCAAGTGATATGGGTAAATTGTAATTTACCCACATTTGCATTGCCACAATATGCAGGCCACTGATCAGGTAAGTCGAACAAATGTTCAGCTTCTGATGGAATACCATTTGTAAATGACAGATATACTGTAGTTAAATATCTATGCACAATACATATAAATTGTTAATTGTACTATCTCTAAACATACGATATAAAGGAATGGATACATTAGAAGGACTGTTGAAGAGTATCAAACATATTTGAATTGAAAGGCAAAAGTATTTCGAAAACAAATTTTGAATATTTCTTGGTGGAAATTAGTGGTATCCACACAAAATACTTCGGAAGGATAGAATAGATCCTATTATGTGTCCATCCGTTTACACTTACTCATCTGAATCGAAAGATCCTCGACCAACATGGGCTTCAATTGTTTTTACTGGTCTATCTGGTGCTTCGAAATAACTTAAACAAGGTACAGAACCAATTCCAGATTTTCTTAAATCACATATTTCTGGAGAATCATATCTCTAAAATGGCAAAAGTCGCCTTCATTACATACATGTTGATATTATTGAGTTTTTTTTTCGGAATTTTAAACACTTACACAATAGATGCTGATTATAATCAGTGCTATTTTTCTTAATCGAGCACAAACTATCTATATTTTTCTAATACTCAGAATTGAAAACAAGAGAATTAATAATTAAATGAAGTGTCTCTCAATTCTGGAATGTATCATATCATATCAATTCGTCGCACTTTATATACATCAGAGTGGTCTTTGCAATTTTTTTCTAGACAACAATTCTATCAAAGGATTTTACTTATTATGGAGAAAATGACTGGCAAATGGAGAGGATAACTTGTAGATATTAACTTCATACATTTTATTACTTAATATTAGAATATACTACTTCTCTCGGAATAGATTGACATACCACTGCATAACCTTGAATTTCTGGTATCCATTCTTCACCTTTATTAATGAGATTCGACGGTAGTGGAAACCATGGCTCTATTTCATGGAGAGTTAAACTATCAGCAAACCATGTGATTGGGAATGGACCTGCATCTTGCATTGGATTTGTTCTGTACCAACAATTATTCTTTGGAAAATAAACAAGAATTATTTAAAAAGACATTAAACAAAAACTGTTGTCTCTATACCTTTGTCTGTTCTGGATAATCAGGATTGTAGTTGAACATTGTATAACCCTCCGAAGCTGGCTACAAAAAAAAACAAATCCAAGTAGTTTTTTGCAAAACGAAAGACAGTTTTTTTTTAACTAACTGTATCTGCTTCAGCACCTTGGGGTTTGTATTGAACCATATAAGTTTCGTTTTGTTTCAATCGCCAGCCTTCGACGTCAAAACGAACTCTTGAATTTGTGTAATCATACAATAAGTATTGAAAGCCTAGAGATGGTATTGGATATTGTTGTAATGCAGTTACATTCAATGTAGCTTGAAATTTTTTCGGGAAACCGGTTTGACTTGAACATTGATTAAAAAGTAGAGTCAATAGTACCAAGTAGATGGCTTGTTTCATTTCGAATTTTGTTCCTTCGTATTTTACGCACAGTTATGTCACGAAATAAAACATGTTTTATAAATATAGTCTATCGATAAAAAGAGAAAAAAAGAAATGATTTTGCAAATATAAATGCATTTTCTCTCATCATCATGATAGATAACTTGTTATCGTGACAGCTGAAATCTGATATATAACTCAAATATGGCTTAAATTAAATGTCCGTAGTGTATTTTTGAAGCTGTCGCAAAGTGCATATTTTCTATATCATAGAAAGAAACCAATATTCTCATTCGACTTAAAAGCATGCACTACGATCGACTTTGAAAGATTGGAATGAAAGCTATACATGAAAACAAATACAAGATACCCGCAATGAATCATACGACGTGATCATGAATGAAGAGAGATAGAGAAGAAAATGCTGAAAAATGACGCCACCGGTTTTTGAAAAAGATATCCTAATTCAATTAAATTTGGGCTTCCAGCAGAAGTAAAAAAGCAGGAAAAATTTTGTTTGACATGGCTATCAAAATGATGACAGGTTTTTTATATTTCATTATATGAGAAAAATTACATCGTATGCAGTCCCATAGAGTGTCGAATGCTCTCTATTTTTCTGTTTGCTTGAATATTTTCTGATATTCTTCAACATGATCATATCTCAACAAGGAAATGCTCCCGTAAAATTTCTCATTTGGGATTGATATTGATCGAATTGAAATTAGATTTGAAATCTTGAATATCGTCAGTCGATATTGATGAATAACTATACTGTCAACAGTCATTCCAATCGATTAGAATTCACGATGATGAGAGTTACATTTGAGAGACAGATTATCGTTGCAATTTGTATGAATAAATCATATTTTTCTTTTTGTTTATTCTATCAGGCTGCTGAAACTGAAAAAGAATCGTGCTATTGTACATAGTGACAGAAAAATGTGCTATAGGGAAGAAAATTCTGATAGTCATTTACCACTTTGATGAAATTCTATAAAAGCAAAAGCAACCTAAGAATCTCCATAGGTTAAATCGACACCCTTAAGAGTATTTAATTGTCGTATCTTCTCATTTGCGAACATAAAACCGACATTTAAAAGCTGCTAACCTTAACTTTAATGATTCTTTTAAATATAAATTATTCAAACAAAAATCAAGTGAGAGTTTGGGGTTTTTGTTTTTCAAATTTTAAAAACTTCACTCATTACAATTTTTCAAAGTACTTTTACACTCAGTTTTACGTTTAAATAACTGTAATTTATAGAGATCGCTAGTTATTTGATTTCACTAAATCTTTCTTAATGAACTGTAATTTGTAGAGTTCACTAGACAACATTGTTTCCATGTATGTGATAGACTTGTTTTGATCTTCAACACGATCTAATTGCCATACAAGAAATGAAACATCGAAATGTTATAAACTAAGTAGTCGAAGTGAAAGAGCCTTGGTAAACTAAATGAAGAACACAAAAAAACAATGTTCGAGTAAAGATGACTTTGAAGTAGGGGTGTTGATTAGCGTATCTTCTTCATGCATACACATGCATTCTACACTCCCAATAAATATTGAATTGCCAGTACAAATTATTATAGAACATCTCTGAAGAATTTCCTCGCCTTCGATTAAGATTCATATTAGATAATTATCAGTTTTTTGATGACTGTTGTTCGTGCGTTTTGACTGTTAGTTAATAAGTAATGAAGAAAAACAATTTTATAAAAACATCTTCAACATCTCGCTTTGACTTACATTAAATTCTTTTTTTTGCAGTCCTTGCTCGTTGCTCTTCAGTATCACTTTATTATTAACAAAGAAACATTGAGCTACACTCAGTATCGATAAAGAATATTTGTTTCTGACAAAAGTCACTTTTAGATACAACTGATAATAACATCTCAATTTAGGACATCGAGGGTGTGGGTGTGGGTGTGGGTGTGGGTGTGGGGGTCGGTGTGGGTGTGGGTGTGGGGGTCGGTGTGGGTGTGGGTTTTCTTCCCACTAACACTCACACACCCACACCCACACCCACACCCACACCCACACCCACACACCCACACCCACACCCACACCCACACACCCACACCCACACCCTCCGAATTTCGACAAACGTTGTATGTTCAATCATGAAACTCTTCAGAAAACAAGTTTGGCTGCTTCGATGCTAGCTCAGACTTGTGCTCCAATGAACATCAAACTCACTACAGATCGCCTAAAACAATTGTTCAACGAACTAGAAGAAGTTGGTGTCATACAAAAATGGGCATTTCAGTTATCATTAGTCGTAAACAAGAACAAAAATAATACAAATATTGAAATTTGAGGACCACAAATAGCGCATGGTCAATTAATGCACCAAGTTACTGATTATTCAGACGACTTTGATAAACGTTTTCGTGAATACCAACTAAGTACGATAGTAGCTGCATTGTTTGGTTGACAAAAAGCAGCATCGATCAAATTACAAAAGATTGTTTCTCAATGATCATCGAAAAAATGCTTTGTACAAGTTGATTACGTTATATTTGACAGTTTTGTACAGTTTGCTGTATCTACATAAAACCTCGAATATTTCTTATTTTGATATAGTTAAATAGAGTATCAATGGCTCTATCAAATTATTTAATTTCTATTTGATTTATTTTACATCTTGTCCGAAAATTTTATCCCTTCCAAGAAACGATGAAACAGAACTTTTTCATGTTCATAGTTTATTGAAACTATATATATTACTCATGAAAATTCTTTTAGATAGTAGAGATCCATCAAACTAGACCGTGTAAAGAATATGAGACAAAACAGATTTGAAATTAAAGAGATATTTGAATTTTATTGTTAAAATTTGAACCATTTTTGTAGTTATGAAAAACCAAATTTATGTTACTCTTCGCAAATTTTTATCTGTAATACCTGACAGAAATTTGATCAAAACTATATAAATCGACACAGAAATTGACGCTCTATTTAGTCATGTATCAAACAGAAAAAAGTTCACATGCTTAATTAAAATTTCCTTGAAGAAAAACATAACATTCTATACAAAAAATGTTCTCGGAAATACTTTTCAGGAAATTATCAAGTTTGTAGTAAAGATAAAGAGTAAACCTAATGAAAAATATATAGTTCGATTGAGAAACAAACAATCTGTTCCTTTATATATAAATAAAAAATTCCAGTACTCTAACAGATATGAGTTATCGAAAAAATTAACTGTGAAACGATCTCAAAATTACTAGGTACAAAAAAAAATGTTTTGCCTGCTTTTCGAAATTTATCAAATTTTTGTACAAGCTGCAAAATAAATCAAACGGAAATTATATAGTTCGATAGAGCAATTGATGCTCTATCTAACTATATCAAAACAAGAAATACCTGAGGTTTTATATAAATACAGCATACTGAACAAAACTGTCAAAAATAACGTAATCATCCTGTATCTTTTAGTCCCATAACATCGACAATTATTAATATGGGTAAACCAAACGTTTCGCGTACAGATATGGATGGTTGCGAAAAAGAAATCATTCAACTTCTAGATGAGTTAACTGTTAAGACTGAAGACAAAAGCGAGGAAGAAGAAGATGATGATGCCGAAGAAATAAACGCAGAAGAAGATGATATAAAAAATATCGAAATAGTGCGACAGGAGCGTCGATGCGCTTTTGCAAACAAAAATCATCTATGTCTGCAAGTATATTTCGTATCTGTGGTCATACCTATTGCCGATGTGCTGCATAAGTTCTCAGTGCATCTTGTAAATTGCCTCTCGAATGCAAAGAGCGCAAATAGAATATTCATATTCGTAATATTCAGTTGATTTTCAATAATGATGAATAATTACTGATGCAGCTACTCAAAACTTCCATTCAGAACTATTTAAACACATACGCAACACAAGATGATCGTGTATTTTGTCGCAATGATGAGTGTAATGGTTTAATTCAGTTTAGTCGAAACTGTCAAGCTTGTTTAACTTGCGGTAGAAATGTTTGTCCTAAATGTCAAGTCATTGATGACGAACTTCATGTAGAACGGACTTGTGCTCAACTCGTTGAAGAAAAGAAGCGACGAGAATTTTTAACTCAACTTTTTGAAGCAGCTAAAAAATTTGTTCAAGATGATGGACCAACAGATTCTCAAATGGTACCAATTGGCCGAATTGATGAAAATCCTTATCTTGAAAAACAATACAAATCACTTAAACGGTTTTATGAAGGCATCAAAGGGTTGGGCTATAATCTTCCGCCAGATATATCCAAAGGGTTTTTGCTTATCATGGTACAGTTTCTCAAGCTATGGTACCAATATGTCAGATTGGATTTGATCCAAAGCGTCGATCCGGCCAGGTTCATGGTCCCGGTGAATATTTTGGAGTGGTAGCAAAAATGTCTCATGGTTATTCTCAAAGATTGCGTAAACACTTACAATCTAGTCAAATGATCATTGCTTATATTATACGAGGCGCATATTTAAAAACTGTGCAAAACTTCTGTTACGTTATCATGAATCCAACAGATTGGAAATATGCTTTTAATTTGCCAGTACTCATTGTTATATATGGAGAAAGCGAGTATAGTCCAACGTCGCCTTTCCCAATTCCAATACCCAACTATGCCGATGATGAACAATCCTATGTTGCACCTTTCCGGTGATATTTGCGTCAAGACAATAGTCAGTTCGAACCGTATAACGATGTTATTATTGGCATCCTCGAACATTTTTATCAACAATTGAAATTTCATGGAGGATCATCAACAGTTGAGACACCACCACTGACTCGTTATGTAGATGATATTCTTCAAACGTATAGAATTGATTTTCAAAATAATAAACAGACGAATGTCAAAACATCATGTACGCGGGTTGTCGATCGTCGGCCACTGGAAAAACCACCAGATAATCAAAACTGGTTTTACCATAACGAACAAAATAATTGAATACGTTATGAATCATTAGTACAATCTTCGATTGAAAACGCATTTAGGTTATATAGATCTGGACAAGGGCCATCTGCCGTTGTTATTCATTTTCCAGGACGCCCTGAAACTTATCAGATTCACTTTGTGAAAGATGAACAAAAAAAACAAAACAACTAACGTAGTTAGAAAAATAAAACGCGAAAAAAATCACTTTCTGAAGGCGCTTGACATTATTTTTTCCGTAACCTAAACTTTAATCAAATAAACGAAAATTAAAACTATCAAAAACTTAACCTGAACTTTAATTATATATGAATGAACATCTTGGTTGCTTCCAGTTTCCATATTTTTTTTTTGTTTGAAAAATCGATGTGAAACTAGCAAGACGGATTTAAGTGAGCTCGGAATCCTTAACGTTCGGATCCGGGAATACAAGACATGCATGAGGGTGTCCGGCTTGCGCCTCTGAGCACCCTCATACAGGCTTTATGCTCCAGAGACCCAATGATCAGGATTCCTAGCCCAATTAAATCTGTCGTGCTAGCTTCACATCGATGTTTGAAAATCGAGATGTAGAATGCTTAGTACAAAACGAATCGATTTCAATCTGCACCAGTTCTTTTAATATTCGTCAAAACAGTTTGAGCACTTTGATTTCTTTTTTGGGATATTTGATTTGTGTTGGCAAGTGTGAATATGTTCACTCTAGTAAGATTTTATAGAACAGATTTCACTGATTTATGGAGAGAGTAATCGGATAAAAATTGAGAAAGAAAACCACCAAGCAATCGCTATTCAAATCGTTTGAGAAAGCTGGTTTTTTTTGTCTACATGCTCTTGTGTTTGTTATCGGTTCTTACTTAGAAAATGCCGGTCAACGAAAGAGCATGACCCACAAGAAACTGATGTTAAATACTAATTTATAACATGACTTTAGATTGTATACAAATCTGGGAAATCATATCCGTACGACTGTGTAATGATGAGTGTTCAGTTGTGTGAGAACATGCTTGATTGATGACCCATTATCAACGATCGAATATAAGACAGCATAGGACTGATTTTAATAGAAATACTTTTTGATATACCTAATTTTTTCATTTCTCTACTCTTTTTATCTATATCTGTTATCATTTATTATGTATTTAATTCAAATTCAACGTAACTTTTACGTTGTAGGTTAAATAAAATCATGCTTGTACTCTCAAGCAATTTTCCAAAAATTCTGATTTTTCCATGTAAACAGTTATAAGCACAGGAAAATAGTGCTTTTTAGGAACAATATGAGTTTTCATAGTAGGAGTTCATAACCTCCTTATTCTGAGATAGAAGAGTTAACCAGCTATGATAGTCCCTCATGACAAAAGTGCCCATTTGTAATGATACAAAAGATAGATATTCAATTAAAAACCTCCCCACATTAGAAGACCCCTGGTCTTCTATTATGTCTCGTCGTAAAAATTTCTCAGAGGGGTCTTCTATTATGTCCTAGGTTTTTTCCTAATTATTAACTGAAAGTAGTTTTCCAGAAATCCGAGGCGATTATCAGGATTCTTATAGGAATTTTCACAGTTTTGAGGGTCGACGGATACATTTGGACTCATTTTCTAAATATTACCAGCTGAAGAACCTAAAAACTGTGCATTCCTGGACGAAAATTCCCTAATTAGAGTTCTTAATTAGCAAATAATTAATTAATTAAAGGGGGGTCTTCTAATACGCCCGATGAACTTTTTGTCCAGGGCGGTCTTCTATTATAGGGGAGTCTACTAATATGGGGTAGGTATGCACCAGTGCCAGTTAACTGGGTATCCAGTCCGACTGGGTACCAGTCGGACTGGTACCCAGTGCGACTGGGTGACCCAGTCGGACTGGGTATCTATATAACTCAATGCATTATCAAATAAATAGCGGTACTCTTCGTAAGCCATTATGATATATATAGGGATACCCTCTATAAGTCATTATAGGATACATAGGGATACCCTCCATAAGTCATTATAGGGTATATAGGGGTACTCTTTCTAAATCATTATAAGGTATATAGTAGGGATGCAAT